GGGGGTTTAAATAGTTCCCCCGACACTTGGCCATTGGTTCCTATTTTTGGGCCTAGATATTAGGTTCATAAAAAATAGGTAATTGACAGCACTTAGCCAAAACTGCCAGTCATGCTCGTAATTAGTCGTTTCTCTGAGCAGGGTAGAGATTACGGGCATATGCGTTATGGACGTTTCTTGGTTGTTTGCTCCACACGTGTCGAGCAGACCTGGTGGTAGTTGCTGATGCAGACAGGCACATGGCTCAGGGCGTCGTTGGTCTCTCCGTTCATGGGGTGCAGTCGGCCAAATGTGCCTGACTGAAAGGCCAGAATTAATGAACCAGAATCGTTAGGCCATTTTAAAGGTAGAAGCAAATTGAACCAATTCGAATCATTAGGCCAGTCCAATTCAAAAATAATATATATCAAATTTAATAAATAGTTGTTAGACTAATTTATTTTTGTCTCGTCAGAATTTAAACTCATAATTTCTATAACTTCAAAAAAGAATAATATTTTATTTTGTCTTTTAAAAAGTGAAAATAAATTTTGAAATATATCATATTTTTATATAAATGATGTGGCATAAATAAATTGATATGTTAAACGCAATGCTTTGGAATTCAAATTTAATATATTATAAATAAGTAAATAGAAACCTAATATCATAACATCCACTAATAACCTCTCTCAAGAAAGATGATCCAGAGGTTATCTAAGCAATTTAACGAAATTGCGATTATTTAGGGAGCTGACAGATTCTCATAAATATTGCTCAAATGAATGTTGAAAGTCCTTAAGAAAACAGCTAAGGGACTGCAACTCCGACAATGTAGACGCGATAATTTTGAAATAATTACTTGCTTCTTGAACTTTGATAAAATCAAGATTTTCATTGAAAAAGATGTGGAAACCATAATAGATTTTTCTTTTATTCCAGCATGTATCCCAATGTGAATCACTTAATCCTATAGGTAAGAATTTGAAGGGAATAATAGTGTTAAAGTTGGAAAAGTTAAAATGTATTTAAAGATTCTTATGACAACTTCTTGATGAAGATTAGTTGGTTTACTCATAAGTTAGATGAGATTTTGCAACGAGTAAGAGATGCTTGGTTCCAATTGTGAAGAAAACAGTAATTAACCTTTATCATTTCATGTGAGGAATCTAAGTTTGAATTTATAATAATTTTTTTCTAAATTATGACGTTTATAAAATATGGTTACTCAATAAATTGATTACCAAATAATCAATTACATCTCTCGTGATATTCCAACGCACCTGAGAAAATATTATTGTAATTAACGAAGGTTTTATGGTGCATAAATAATTAAAATATTTTACAAAATACAGTTATATAACAAATTGATCATCAAATAATCCACTCATTTGTTACAACCTCCCAATGCATTTGGGAGAATATCATCACAACTTATGAAGTTTCATGGCACATAAAATTTAGACTAATTATCCAAACTAATTATTCCCTAGTGCTAGTAATCAAAACAATCTCATACTATTATTTTAATCAGATGTGCAAATCTTTCTTTTACTATTTTTGTCAAATAATCTGTCTTTTAGTCATTCCCTTACTCATTTAAATTTTAGTATTCACTTAAATACTAATGTAGTATTGAGAGAGAAATTACTTATATATAATTGTCTTGTGTAAAATTTGGCTAATATGTAATTGTAATGAAGACAAGGTTGTTGTCTTAACTATGATTTTTTGATATAAAGGCTATAAGGCGATTCTGAGATAAAAGTTTGGTGTAAGAAGTTTGTAAGACGATTTTATTGTAAAAGTTGTGATAGTGGAAATTTCAAAGGTCACTCTTTGAGATTGGACGTAAGCCTCGTGGTTTTAGACTATACTAAGATAAAATCTAGTGTGTTCTCATGTGATCTCTTACCTATTTGTTTTTATGTCTTTATTTTATCATACCTCTTATCATATCTTATCCATCATCTTAAATCAACCTTATACTATTGTATATTTTAAAGTTGCAAATTTGTTTATATATCACAATGTACTCTCTTGTGTTTGAAATTATTTGGTCAAAAAGTGACATCAAAATCTAATTTTTGTTTAAAGACTAATTGTCTTAGGAAGTAGGCGAAAGTGAGGAAGAACATGAGGTTAAACTAAATCGTCTTGCTGAAAATGAGGACGACGACAAGAAAAAGAAAGGGCTTGCACTAAAAGCTACATATTTCAAAGACATGGAGTCAAAAGATGAAAACTGTAAAAATGAAAGTAATGAAGATATGGATTTTTTTCCCCACAAATTTAAAGAATTCATAAGACACAAAAAGAACCTTTAACCTTTCATAAGAAAATTAAAGAAATATCATATTTTGTTCCAACTTACTTCTAGTGCAGGAAGAAGGGTCATATAAATCCATAATACCCAAACAATCAAAGGAAAAGATACAAAAGACTTAAAAAATAATCGAAAAAGAGCTTACAATGTGTGAGATTCTTCTGATAAATATGAAAAAGAGGAAGAAACACACATATGTCATGATAAGCCACAAAGAAAATAAGGTAAAAAAACTCAACTTTCTCGAAATTATTTGTATCAACGCATATATGGATTAAAAACAGCGCCTTAAAATATTTCTTCTTTTCTTCCTTATGTGTTGCTCGTTGTACATCAGTTGCATCTTCGACTAGAGGACTCACACTGTTCTTGATCACTTCAAGAACATCTTGGTAGCCAAACACATCTTCATTTTTTTGCACCATTTATCGTAATTCTCCGCATCAAAGACGGGTAGATTTGTATGAATTCTTTCATTGGAGACTGAGTTAATGTTATACACTAGGTGTTTGGTGGATCGGACCAGACTCTGATACCAAATGTTAGAACTTGAAGGTGCAAGGTTGGTGAAAATAGAATAATTGAGTGTGGAGAGAGAGAGAGTGAAAGAGAGAGAAATAAAGAGTATAATTGAGGGTGAGAATGTTCAATAACATTGATTGAGATACTCATGTAATATTTATACAAAATGCAATAGATTATGATACAAGTAACAAAGCCTAACAACTAAAATTAACTACCTATAATTGATTGCACAAATTACAAATATTTCAACAAATAAAAGACATAATAATGATAACCGGTTAGTGTGAATGTATAACAGATTACACTTACACCAATATTAACAAAAAAAATACAACATCCTTTAATCGATTACAGCCCCGCAGTAACTGATTAGAGCACTTGAATTAGTGAATTTTCACAACAAAAATCCTTCTTCCTTTCTTTTTCTTCTTATGAAAATTCATCACTAAATCCTCCAATCCCTTTTAACATTTGATTATGGTGAACCATTTGGTGTCAAGAACTATTCTTGTAGCCTCAATTTTATCAAAGTAAGATTCATTTTTTTTCTTCATAATTTAAAGTTTTTATCTTTTTCAATAATAGTATTCTTAATAAATTTAATTGACTTAAATTGTGTTTTGGTTCTAGTAAATTAATTTTTTTGTCCAAATATTTATGTCATTTTCTTATTGGTTTTGATCTCTGAAGTTAAAATTTCTTTATAAAAACGCTGATGTGAAAACGCGGCAACCATTTTTTTTCCATTTTCAATTTTTTTACCTTCAAAATTTCACGTAAACGCATTTTTTATTTTTTCTTTCTTTTGGATCTTAAATATTGAAATACAAAAGTTTAAAAGTTGAACCCATGCACTTCGCATAGTACTCCCTATCCACTAGGTTAAGCTTTCCTTTTGATTATAACATTGCACAAATAATATATAACACATGCACCAATATTTATATATTTAAAACTTAATTTTTAAAAGTGATTTCTGCCATTGGTGGATTTGTATGGATTTAAGTTAATAAAGTTACCTCAAGAATTAAAATTTATTCCATTGTCAAGTCACAATAATGAAGTAAAAAATTGAATACTTACTAGTTTAATAGTTCAATTTTTAATGTTAGTCAAGAATTTTAAAGTTGCACCACTGATTTAAAACATTTTATTGTAAAATCAATTAAATAAAATGAAGTAAGAGAAACCCATAATTAAGATCCAAAATCAAAGATATGTAGTAGCAGAAATTTAGAAATAGAGATGAAACCAAAAAAATGCAATAACAAAAATTCAGAATTAGAGACCTATACAAAAAAAATATTTATATTTACGGACTAAAACAAAAAACACTCCAACTTACAAGAACGATAAGACTATAAATTTAAATTTTTTTCACCCCGTCTTCATAGAAGCAATTCAAAATTAGAGTGCAGGAGAAGAAGAACCATTGTAAATGGAGAACACTTCAATATTTGTTCATGTTGACAAATTTTCTTTTGTTACTTCTAACAACAAATTCAATAATCAAATAGATTCAACCTTAACAACATATCCAAAAAACTTCTCTTGTTGCTTCTAGCAACAAATCCAATAATCAAATAGATCTAACCTTAACAATAGATCTGAATGAGAATAATAAGAATGCAATTGTATTGAAGAGAGAAAGAAGAAGGCAATGGTATTAAAGAAAGGAAGAAGAAGTTGCAAATATCTGTTATGTAATATATACATACACATTGCAATTGTTAAAGAAAGAAGTTAAGTGGCTTAGTTGAGAGGTATTAAGGCTTTGAGCTAGATGTTTAGACCAAAAAAAAAATTTAGGAACTAAAATAAAAAATTCACTAAGTTGAAATTAGAACACTATCTAAACCTATTTAGTTTTATTGAAGATTCCGTCTATGTTGTGTCAAATATGTAATTAGAAGATTAAATTTGTTGTACAAGGTGACCTCAAGCGAGTAGGTTATGAGTATGTGAATAATAAATGTGAAGTATTAAAAGCAAGAGGTTGTTAGAGTAGACAAGAAAAGAAAACAAAAGAAAAGAAAAAGTACATTCTTTGATTCTCTAACACCGCTCTAATCTAAGCGGTTGCATAGGGTCACTACACATCATATCCTACAACATATTCTACAAAGCACTAAATTTGATAATGGTGAAGCTTGCTTCTGAAAACTGTATTCTAGAAATCTCCCAACAACTGTTCTTCTTTCTTATGTAAATTCTTCGTAAACAGATGAACCTTTATGATGCCTACAATTGTTGCCATCACCACAAAACAGATGCTAAGGCCAAAAACTGCACACATGTTGAGATATTGTTAATAACAACACTAGTTCTTACAATTTTCTTAAAGGTAGAGTAAAGAAAGAAAGAGTTAAATTTACCAGTATTGCGTGCTGTGTAAGAATCTCTAGTCTTGTTTCCTTGTTTGATTTCTTCAGGCTCACGTAACTTCCATGTTAATCTAAGACCAAGACTGTTATCTGAAATATAAGGACTATATTTGAAAGGAATAGCAACTGTTTTGACTCTTTTACATGAACTAGGAATAGAAACTTGAGGGTCAACTGTATAAACATGAGAGTTTGAATCGCTTAAACATGGAACTTCCATGAAATTTGTATGTGGAAGTGTAGTGGAGCAATTGAGGTAGGTATAGTTTTGAAGAACGTAATAGTATTGAAACGGAGTGAGGGTGAGGTTGAGGTTGAGAAAGACTCTGGGGACACAGTTCTTTGGATCAAGAAGATCAATCTTTCTCCTGTCATAGGAGATGGACTTGACTGTCAGATCGCCGTAGGATGGAAAATGGATGGTGGTGATGTTGTCTTTGTGAAAAAGGTCGAAACCAGAAAGGGTGGTGAAGGGATAGTGAATGTCAACACCAGTTACAGAGGTTTGGAAGATGAAAACCAAGAAGATGGTGAGAAAGAAGAGTGAATTCATGATGTTATACAAAGAATGAATAGCAAGTAAAGAGAAATTTCAGCTACTTAGGATATAAGTACTTAGCATAAAGAAATAAGAAAGACTTTTCAGTTTCTTGGAGTGTTCACTAAGCTTATAGGGTCAAGAAGACTTTGGGAAGTTTGGTGGCAAGATAACCAATTCTTTAAAGGAACAGCAAAATATAAAAACTTGTTACTTAATTACAAGTAATGCCAAGTGTCTAAACTTCAAAGTTGGTGACTTAAATTTTGAGGTAGGGAACTTGCTACCATGTCTTCTCCCTTTCACTGTCATAGTTAAATATGCTTGACTTTATCTAGTCCTGCTAGGCAACTTCTTCACATTTTCAGTTGTATATAAATATAATATTTGAACAAAAATTTGTCATATTGTGAAAGACTAGTATTTTTGCCGATAATTGGCTATTGTGCATCATAATAATATGGGTTAAGAGTATTGAATGTGCTTATAATTGAAAACAATCTTTACTATACAAATTGATTTTGTAAGATTGAGTTAAATTCAACCACAATTCTTAACGTAGTATCAAGAGCTTCATTTAAGATCGGATAAGCTACCTGCTATTAGGTTTCCTTATCGGATCATCCATCATTTATTTCCACGCTTCAGATATCCAATTCTGAGCGTGAAAAAGTGTGTTAAGAGTCTCTCATATCACACAATATATGACTTAAACATGTGTTTATAAGTGAGGACAATTTTCACTCTGCAAACCGATTTTGTAGGGTTAAGTTAAGCCGCCGAACCATTATAAATATTATATAAAACTTAAATAAATGAGAATGGAGAGAAAATTATGGACAAGGATGTTCCATATATTCTATCAAGAGTTTATATTTACAAAAGTTGCTAGTACAAAAGCAAAAACTAGAGCATCAACCTTTGCTTGACACTTCAACTTGATGCTAAAGAACAAAAAGCGCAAATGGAAGATTTACAATGAATTTGTCACTTTATGTGATTCAACATTGTTGGCACTTGGTAGCAATAGTTAATAAGATTCATAACAGTATACCTGAACAATTTTGGTTTGTGCTTTTACACGTACAGGGGGATATACATATACATATTATACAACAGATTGTCCTCTTTTGTTCTATGAGCTACAGAGCATGTATTTTGAGTCTTAAATAAATAATCTAGTTGTGAAACTTGTTACACTCAAACTTAAGATCATAGAAATGGTAGAAGCAAAGAGAACGATGAAAGAACACGAAACAGAAGATAAATCAATAAAAATCATAGGTGATCTCGCGCCAGCCTAACTGGTTTTTCCTTTAAAAATGCAACATCGCCGCCATTCGGTGTATTTAGCAGGCGGTGATTTGGCTCCTCCTCCTCCTCTTCACTCTCCATGGACAGAGAAAGGTCATCAGAATCTGATCTATCATCATCTGCAAAAGATATAAACTTAGATCCTTCCTCTCATTGTTTTGTCGATAACTAAATTATTAGAAATAGAGGCATGTTTTAATTATTCTAAGACCCAACAAATACTACATCAACCCGATTTTTAGCCGATGAAAATAAACCAAAAGAAAACATGCAATATTATGAACAAATTGGCAGATATTTTTAGTGTCTGTATCTTACCTGCAAATGTAAGACGTTCAGGGACATGTCCAACTGCAGAAACCTGGATGTTTTCTGGTAGTAGACAATTGCAAAAAGAACCTAAAAAGTCACCACACATGATCAGATGATAACAGAACTAGTATGTGCAATCACTGGATTCACAAAATGAAGCTCAATTGTAAGCAAGTTTGCATTACTAGTCATGTCAAACTCGTGTGTATAACCAGAAATTATATTTGATGCAAGTAGGACCGCATCTTATGAAACCAAAAACTAGAGAAAAGTGGTAGGAAACATACTAATGTAAATTACACACAACACAATCATTAAAAATATCAAACTATGACTTATGCAACCAGAATTAGCGCGCAGAGTGATTCTCACCTACACGAGCGAGTCGATTAACCCATCCAGGAATAGGATTTCCAGTTAGTTGTTGGCAAACTTCATCTGTAAAATGGTTGCAGTTTTTGGCAATCAGATGGTAAGTGTCTCCGTGATATTTTGCAGAGAGACGCTCCATAAAAGAACGGAATTCTGCAAGAGACATATCAGTGCTTCCCAACAATAACGATCGTCTGAAGATGAAGCCAGGGCAATTTTTAGGTTCCACCTCAAACACACCACTTGAAGGGTATTCATGTGCTCCAAAGCCATATTCCTTACCATGCACTGTTGATTAAAAAATAATAATTAAGCAATGAGTTACTGCAAGATGTTATTGGTAAAATAGCATAAAGGTACATGCCAGCTCCTTATCAAGAATTAGTTCAAAGGACATTATGAACATAAATAGTTAACCAAACAAATACACACATTTAACCTTAAATCTAGTTAATGTTCTGGATATCATATCATATCAAACGAAGTCCCACAAGAAAACACAGCAGAAACAAGTTGAAAACAAAATTGAAGCAAAGAAAGTATATTAAAGAAAGAGATGAACCTTCAATACCGGAGTGAAAGATTCCAAGGCCAAAAAGGTAAAGATAATTATTAACAGGAGTAAGATCATAAACATTGAGATACACCATAGCACGAGATTTATTCCCACTGTTCCGCTCCCTTTCCGAGCTAGTACTCAGTTGAAACCACCGCATTATGGTGGAAACTTTGTGTCCAATTATGAATCACAGCCTCATCGCCTTCACTCCCAATGCAGAAATCTGCAAAATTATCAACACGAATAAGGAATTTGGATCTGAGAGAGAAGACCTAGAAAAAGAAGATGAACTTACGAGAGAGAGTGAAGGAGCAGAGATTCGGATTCAACGAGAATTGAATTGGAATTGAAATCACAGTGAGTTTGGATTTGGATTTGGATTTGGATTTGGATATGAGTTGTGTTCTTTCGCCGTCATCAATATTTACCAGCAAAAGCATATGTAACACTTTTTGTTTGATTCTAAAATGTCACTAAGATTTTGTTACAATTACAACGTTCACTTCGGTTAAGGTTTAAGATAATAAGACAATTATTGACTTCTCTATTGTTTTTTTTACACTATTAGTGTGCCACAATTAAGTATATTAAAACAAAAATCAACGCTAGAATTCAAACTCTGATTTTTATGATTGTGTGCATGAGTTTTTAGCATTTATGATTACTTTGTTTACGGATAAAAAACACTTTGAAATGAGGGGAATGTACAAATTAAAAAAAAAAAAAACACTTTAATGTTAAATGAGGGGAATGTATTTACGAATACACTTTGATGTGAAAGTCATGTTAGATATAAGTAAATTGGAGATCGAATGATCATACTTGGGTGGTGAATCCACTCATTATAAATATTTGATGATTGCTTTAGTTTGTTCATACATTTACATAGTAGATTGTTTAATTCATATCAAAATAAGTGTGACACGGCAACTTAACATAATTGTGAGATATGTATCGACACATTTTTTATTTGAATAAGCTTTTTAATGTCTGAAATGGTAGAAGCGTGACACTGTTTCCATAGCCTTTATTTAATGATGTGTTTATTTTTCGGTATGATATCAATAGTTATTCACGTACCATCTCATTCTTTATATTGATGTATCATATTGAGTCGTTTTTAAGTTGAGTTAAGTAATTATACATGTATGTTTGTTATAATGCATGTTTTCTTAATACTTGATCAAAATCTTATTTAAATTAGCTTCTTGTGCCCATATCATTACACAAGTTTCATAAATTTTTAGTTATTTTAATATATAATGAATCTAAAAGTCTTAAAATCTCACAAAAAAAACTAATAATTTTTTTGCAATCGCCATGTCAATACCGATAATTTACATATAACACCTAGAATTGAATCTAAAAAAATGGAGTGGAAGTTGGAGAGTTTTCATGAGTTTCTCAATGTGTGTTGGCATGTTCTAGCGATTTATATTAACGCGGGCCTTTGTTGCTTTGTGGTATGATGTAATGATGTGATAATATTTTTTTATATTGCATTAAAATATTTAATCTATTGATTATATATCAAATTATTGGATTATAATAATTGTTGTCTACGTATTATCAAACATTAATTAATTTTTTGTTTTCTTTTTCAAACTTATAATCCTTTTCCCCTTTCTCATTTCTATCATTCTTTGCATTTGTCTTCTACAGTTGCATTTATATTCAAATTGTTATTTCTTCTTTTAGGTTTAGATTTTTTCTTCTTCAAAATTTCCTCCATTTTGATAATTCTTCTTATTTTTAGGTAAATATAATCCTTTCGTATCTTTCCTTATTTATTTTATGTTAGGTAAAAAAATTGGCTCATACACTGTAGAAATTTTAGATGTTTGAACGAACTTTTAGACAAAAATAATAAAATTATTCATGTATACATTATACAAGAACTTTTTTTAATTATGCAATGACTAAGAAATAATTGCCAGTAATGATTTATCATTGAAAAACTTTAGATTTTATTTGATTGGTTATAAGATCATTGTGTATATTGTCCATGCACTACGCTAAAAAGTGCTTTTAACAGTACACATTAGACAACAATTTTATACAGAAGCGTTGCTATAAGTGAAATTAAAAAAAAAACACGGAAACTGTATACATTAATAAATAAAAGTACTGCTAAAATGTGACCTTAGACAGCCTTTTAAAAGTGCTGCTAAAAGTGTTGTTTTAGAAAGCGCTTTATCAAAAGTGCCGGTAAATGACCACTTTAGACAACACTTTTCAAAAGCGCTGTCTAAAGTCATATAAATTTTATAAAAAAAAATCTCAAAAGCACTGCTAAAGGACCACATTAGCCAGCGCTTTTCAAAAGCACTGTTAAAGGCCCATATTAGCCAACACTTTTCTCAAAAGCACTGTCTAAAGTCATATAATTAGAAATTAAAAATTAGAATCAGTACTGTTTCTCTTTTCACAGATCGAATTCCCTCCTCACGCGAAACCC